CACTCTCATGCGCGCGTGAGGAGGACGGCGAGAGAGGCGGACAGAGGGGCGACGAGGCCACGCTGCGATGCCGAGCGCGAGGCGAGGCAGGCCATCGAGCGCAGGAGGCGGAAGGCGGAGGAGCCCCTCTGGGTGTCTCTCAGGTTCGGCCCCCCTCCCGAAGACACCGGCAAGGCTACCGCCTCGGCCCCTGTGAGTCCAGAGGCGCACCAGCCTGGGGCAACAGAGCCGTATCAGGAGGGAAAGAAACACACAGACACAATTAATCGTCGATTCCCCAGAAAATATGGGAAAATATGGGAAGTGGGGGGGAAGACAAAAACCCAGAAAATATGTGAACATATGGGGACTATTTTTATTAGTGTGTATTTATTTGTGTGTCCTGGGGCCCCTTCACCGTAGGCATGCTGCAGCGGGCCGCCGTCCTCCCTCCTCGGTCCTGTCAGGGCGCCGCGCACGCGGGGGGCGTCAGCCATGGGTTTGCTGGATTCGAGGATCCCTCCCCTTGTCCTCCTCTTCCTCTTCTTCCTCTTCCTCCTCTTCCTCTTCTTCCTCTTCCTCCTCTTCTTGCTGTTTGTTTTCTGTCTCCTCCTCTTCCTCCTCTTCCTCCTCTCCCTTGCAGTACAGGCTGTGCTGAGCTTGTTTTCCCGCCCACGCGCCGGACGGCGTATGGCTCGCCACACACTCCCCTCGTCCATTCCAGGAACGAGCTCCGAGCAGAGCCGAGGTTGTGATGGCCTCTGGCCAGTGCCGCCGATCTGGGGGGCTCCGGATTCGGTGATCTCGGAGTCGTCGGGGACGCTGTTTGGGAGGGAGGGCGCTCTTGGAGTCGTCGGGGTGCCTGGAGCGGTCCCAGAGGGTTCCCAGGGGAGGGTCCTGGGGGCGGTAGCGGCAGAGCAGAGCCGAGATATCCGAGAAGAGATGGAATCCACATGCATAACCGACGGGGTGCACGTCCTTTTGCGTGGGAGAGATGGACAGCGAGCGCTTCATTCGGTCGCACCCCTATCGAGGATGGACGTCCCCCCATCGTATATCCCAGGGATGGGCCCGAAATTTCAGGCCCATTCGAAAACCCACGAAGCCTGGGAGAGGGGTCGACAGATCCCCTGTTGCCTCCTTCCTGTCTTGACCTCCCGCTCCACGCCCTCCCCCTTCCCCTTTTGTCCCTCGTTGCCCCTCGCCCTCCCCTCTCCTTCTTGCACGGTGCGGGGGGCATCGCTGTGGCCTCGGGGCCGGGGGGGCAGGGGGGTCGGGCGACGAGGATGGGGGGTGCGGTCGGACCGAGGTGTAAGATCGAGGTAGGTTCGGGGATGGTGCCCTGATGTTCTTCGTGTTCGTTGGATGTTCTTGTGCATCCCATGGGGGGGGTGCCCTCGAATGTGCTTCGGTTTGGCTGGCGGAGGGTCTCGTGCTCTTGAAAGCGCTCTTCTGTCCTGGGTCCGGCCGCAGGGAGGCGCAGGGCCGTGAAACGTTTTTGGGCCTCCAGGCCCCACTGTCCGTGGAGGGCTCTGCGCAGAGCGCTCCGCACCGCCTGCTCTCAGGGAGAATGGGGGTTTGCCGATCCCGCTCTGTATCCAGACTCCGAGATGGATTGGATAGGGGGGGAGCTTTTCCCTTTTCCTCGAGCGGGCGCGCGCCAAGCGCAGCTCCTCCACTGATACCTCAGCTCCACAGGGCGTCTTCATCGAACCGCAGTCCGCCGGCCCATCTATAGGATGGCACCAGCGGACAGGTTCACCCAGTGAGAGAGAGAATCCTAGGGATGCGCTCTTGTCGGGGGGGGGGAAGAAAGCGGCGGCACGGAGGAAGCTCGCGACGGCGAAGGCTGTCCTCGACCAGGACGCTTTCGCGCGAGCCGTCGGGGTAGTAGCTGCAGTCGGGGCATACGAACACGTTGTCGTCCCAATACCGAACGCAGTGCAAGCACTTCCACTTTCCAAGGCCAGCCTGGCACATGCACCACGTCACGAGCAGCAGTGGATTATAACCTGCTCAGTATGAAACGCTCCACATGCAAAGTGTCTGGCACGATGCTCATCACACAGCGAATCACAGTGGCCAAATGCGACATATTGAACATGCAACTCTGCACAGTCTGGGCCCCCTCCAAGCACTCGACAGCGACTCCATGAATTCCAGCCCCTCTACAAAAGCGTCCCCTGCCCGCTGCCTGGGGACCCCCATCCCCCTGCTGCCTCCCCCTTTTCCTGCATGCGCCTTCTCCTGCTGAACATCGACTCCTGCCTTTCCGCTTCCCATGCAAAAATGCAAGATGCGGCCTCAAGCGCCTCGACTCCTTGCATTGCATCATCTTCGTTGCTGCCTGCCCTGGCCTCGCCAGGGTCTTCAGGGGCGCTGGCGTCGCTTAACTCATCCATCACGCAGTCCATCTGTTCTGGCGCTGTAGACGCAGCTGGTCGCTGCCTGCTCAGGCAAAGCCGCTGCTTAGCCACATCATGCTCCTGAGCCTCCTTCCCGAGGGTCAACTCTATTTTCCAGCATGCGGCCCTGGCATCTGGCGTGGGGAGCTGGCTCTTCTCCGACGTCCTGCGTAGATTTGCGAAGGGTGCGTCTCCTGAGCAGCCTGCGCCTCCCTCTCCTCCGCAGCCTCAGCAGCCTCGCCCCCCCCCGCGGGGCCACGACCACCGGCTCGGCGCGCGGAGCGGGCCTCCCTGGGTGCCGGCGCCGCGGCCGCGCTCTCCCGGGGCGGTCTCTGCACCTTGGGTCCCTGTCGTCGTCCTCCTCCTCCTCCTCCTCCTCCTCCTCCTCCTCCTCCTCGTCCTCCTCCTCCTCCTCCTCCTCCTCCTCCTCGGGACCCCACTGCCGCCCGCTCGCCGTGCGGCGTGGGCCCCATGGGCAACGGCGCCGCGTTCACGCTCCCCAGGGGCGGTGGGTTTGGAGCGCCTGGGCTCGGCGGTGGTTTTTGAGCGCCGTCCTCCCTCATCCGGACGCTCGGGGGCAGCTGTCTGCACGAGCTCGCCCCTCTCCTCAGGGCAGGGCGGCAGTTGGGAGTCTCCTCGCAATCGGCAGGGGCCCGCGCCGCCGGAGGGGCCCCCCTCGACGCAGTGCCGCTGGAGGCATCCGCTGCTGTCTCCGCCGGTTGCTCGCTGGCCCCTCCCTCGGCAGATGTCGCAAGGACCGCCTGGGTGCCATTGCCGACCGCTGCGACCTCTGCACTCCCCGCCTCAATCGCTGAGGGCGCGGGCACGACCGCGGCCCTGTCTGGAGGCGGCTCGCTGGCAATCCCCGGCTCAACGGCCTGCGGGGGACCAGACAGGCCGGCGGGCACCTCTCGCTTCTCCTCCAACGGCTGCGTCGTCCGGGTGTCGGGCGCGCCTGTGTCGCGGACGCTGACTTCGTCTCGCGCCTTTGTCGCGGACGCTGACTTCGTCTCTCCCTAAGGTGCCCACTTGTGTGGTGCAAAGGGCCTGGCGCGGTGGCTGGCCCGCGCTTGGGGCTGCCTGAGGCGCCCAAGCTCTCGTGATGGCACGTTGTGGTGGTCCCGGTCCCTGGTCTTCGTCGTCGCCCGGGAGGTCTTGCGTTGCCACATTATGCTGTGCCATTCCATGCTTAGTGATGCAATTCAACGCAATGAAATGCTACTCAATGCTATGTCATGCTATGCCCCGCTGCAGTGTAATGCCGTGATCTACTACGCATTGCCATGCTGTGTAATGCAAGCGCGTGTATGATTTGCCTGCCATACTGATTGTTTAATTCGATGCAACATTGTTTCATCGAATGCAATACAGCGCCGTGTCATGCTAGTCACTGGTATGCTATGCCATGCCAGGCAATGCTGCTATGCACTTTTCATGTTGGGTGGTGCTTTGATGTGCTGTGCGTGCGTTGCAGTATGTTGCATTGCATTGCATGTCAGAGTATTGCGATTCACACGAAGGGCTCTTTCCCAGCTCATCCCCATCTTTCTGCTCCTCCCCCCTCCCTCCTCTTCCTCCGTTGGCTCGACCTGTTCGGGTTCAAGGTGCTTTTTAGCTGCACGCTCACTGGTACGGTAGGTACGCGGGCCCGAGCGCTGGCCCGCCCACATTAGCTCAAAGAGCCAGATTTTTACATTCCGCTCCGCCCTCCCCGGGCAGATGGCGCTCACCTGCGCCGAGCCCCGCCTGGCGCCCCTCGGCAACACCTTCCAGGTCTGATTGGCCGATTCTCCTACACCACTGCCATGGGCAGGACGGGGGAGGAGGGAGGATGGGGAGGTCCTCCTCCTCCTCCTCCTCCTCCTCCTCCTCCTCCTCCTCCTCCTCCTCCTCCTCCTCCTCCTCCCCCTCCCTCTCCTGCATGTGGTAGTGGCGGTGGAGCATCGGCCTGTCGAGGTCTGGGACGAGCGGCCGCGCGAGCGGAAGCGCAGCCACAGCCACTCCGGCTACACGCCCCACCACCTCCGGGTGCTGCACGACGGCTCGGAGCCCGGCGGCGAGTCCCGCGCGGCCTCGCCGGGCGCGGCGGCCTGCGCCTCCGAGGCCTCGGACGGCTCGACCGCCGCGCCGGGGAGCCGTGCCTCGGAGGCCCCGAGCAGCCCGCGGGGCAGCACGGCGGAGCCGTGGCCGGACACGGACAGCGACGGCGAGGAGGCGTACGAGTGGTCGCCCTGCAGCCGCGGCAGGTGATGGGCCTGTTGTCCACCACCACCAGAAGTTGGAGGGGGAGGGGGTCCTCTTCCTCTTCCTCCTCCTCCTCCACCTCCTGCACCTCCTCCTCCTCCTCCTCCTCCTCCACTCCTTCCTCCTCCTCCTCTCCTCTCCTCCTCCTCCTCCTCCTCCTCCTCCTCTTCGTCCTCTGCCTCCTCCCCCCTCCAACTTATGGTGGTGGTGGTGGTGGTGGTGGAAAGCAGGCCCATCAGCAGGCGCGGCCCCGCTCCCGCTGATGCCAGAGCACAGGCCGGCGGGGGCGGCTGGCCGCGCCACGCCTCGCGCGGGGTGCCGCCGCTGCAGGTCCTCGCCACGGCCCCGGCCGGCCGCGCCGCCTGCCTGCCTGCGGCGGCGGCCCCGAGCGCGCCGGCCTTGCCGCCGGCTGCGCCGCAGTGGCCCCTGTGCGGCCACGCGGGGCAGGCGGTCCCTTCTTACCAGACCAGGCCACCCCAGACATGGTGGCGTCGTAGAAAATCCGGACGGCAAGCTTTGCATGATTTTCGGCCCCTGGGGGCCCTCGCCGGGCCTCGGGACCGTCGAGAAACGACTCAGGACGAAAAACCGGTCCTGGGGAAAGGGTCTGGACTTCGGGGGCGCCGTTCTGAAAAACTCGGGACGTCGCATTTCTGGGAACCCAGCCCGAAGGCCCCATGTCCTCCCCACACCTCGGGTCTCGGGGGGTGAACGGGCTCCGCCGTGCTTTCTCGATGCTCCAGAACGTCCCCCCCCCCCCACCGGAAAGGGGCAGGTCCCAGGGCGACTTCGGGTCGGGCTGGGGTGGCTCGGTGGTCAGCCAGGCGGGCGCGCCTCCCTGCGCGGCGTCGCCGCTCCTGGCAGTCGGGCAGCCGCCGGTGCCCTGGCCGGCCACGCGCGCGCCGGCGGCCGGCGCGGCGGCCCTGCGGGGGCCGCGCGGGTTCGGCGGCCAGCCGCCCACGGTGCCGACGGCCGGGCTGCTGGCGCCATGGCGCCTGCCGGGGGCCTGGGGCCTGCCGGTGGGGGCGGCCGCCGCCGTGGCCGGCCCGTCGTGCGCCAGGCTGGGCGCCGGCAGGGCGCTCGCGGCCCCGCGGGCGGAGGCCGGCAGCCTGGAGGCTGCCATGCGGGCCGCGGAGTGGGCGCTCGCGGCCCTGGAGGCAGCGGAGGAGGAGGAGGCGGCGAGGGAGTGGCCGCGGCTGTGAGCGAGGGAGCGGTCGCGAGAGTGGGGCCAGGGGGTGACTGCCCGCGGGGGCAGCCTCCCTGATGCTGCGCAGCCTGCCTCGCGAGGGGACCCAGCGCAGGTGGATCGACGGCGGCGGCATCAGCCGCTCTGGCCCAGACTTCAAGCCCTGCGTCTTGGAAGGCGGCGCGGCGGGCTGCTCCTGTGGGAAGTTTCCGCGAGCGACAGAGGCCGTCTGGCAGCAGGCCCAGTGTGCTGCCCCTCTGTCGTGCCCCGATCCGCGCGCGCAGCAGCTCTGTCCCGCTGGCGTCGGCACCGCATTGCTATGTGGCCTCCCCCAACGTGGCCGAGCAGTGTCCATTATAATGATGCGTGCATGGGAGGTCCCCAGCCGCCTGTCTGAGGGGCGCGGAGGAGAAGGATAGCAGGAGGAGGAGGAAGAGGAGGGGCATGAAGCTGTTGGTTTCTGCTGTGCTTGTCTCGGCCTGTCGGTCTCCGTCCTTGCATTGCGTCGGCGGTGCCCCAACCTTTTTCGCCCCGTCTCTTTTACAGCACATATGGGCGCGCTATGGGACGACGCAGGCACTCGCGCCGGTAGGAGGATGACGGATGAGTCGCACGAGCAGCTTCGCCCGCTCGCGTGCTGCTCCGCTCCAGAGCCTCTTCTCCAAGTTAGGCTTGCCTTCGAGGATTCAGATTCCCTAAACAGCGCTTGCACATAGGGGTTCTTTCTTTTGGTCTAAGGAAGTCGGCTGGTGTCAGGGTCTGGCGGCGATGTAGCCGCCCTCGCCGACCTGTCGCCGCCCCGTCGCCGCCCGTCGTCTGGGCGGGCGTGCTGGTCTGGCGGCTATGTAGCCGCCGTCGCCGTCCCGTCGCGGCCTCGTCGCCTCCCGTCGCCTGGGCTGGTGTGCCGCTCTGGCGGCTTTGTTGCCGCCGTGGCCGCCCCGTCGCCGCCTCGGCGCCGCCCGTCGTCTGAGCCAGTTTTCCGCGCCGGCGGCTATGTTGACGCCGTGGCCGCCCCGTCGCCAACCCGTCACCGCCCCGTCGCCGCCGGTCGCCGTTGCAATGTATGTGCTGCAATACACATAGATGTATATGTGTACGTTTGTATACATACACACGCACACCAGTCTTGCACAGCATCGATTGCACAACATACGTTGTACCTCGTCTAGTGTAGCACAGACGTTGTACCGTCTATCTTGTGCAACATCGATTACAAAACGTATGTTGCACCACGTACACTGCATCACATGTATTGCACAACGTATACTATGCACCGTCTATTGCACAACATAGACTGCACAGCAGATGTTGCACCCACCACATAGCGTGCATGTACGCATACATGCCACAAAGCATATTACACACCACTGCACATATGGTACCACGTATATTGTGCCGCATTCATTACACCACATAGCTTGCACCACATCTATTGCACCACGTAGGTAGTACCACAGAAATTGCGCCGCTTGAGTTGCACAACTTATACATTGCACCACGTACGGTGCATCACATATATTGCACCATATCCTTTCTGTCACCGCATAGATTTCCCAATGTGAATTGCACAGCTTCTCGCACTATGTATATTGCAGTACATAGAGTGCACCACAATTGTTTCACAATATCGATTGCACGACACAGACTGTGCCACGTATATTTTCCGTTAGCACAGAGTATCAGGGTCTACCTATCGGCCCTGGACTGATCGGTGCGTTCCTTTGCAATGCAATGTACAAATGATTCCGCCCAATCGTGCATCCTTAATTTGAATGCGTACCATCTCGGGCAGTCCCTTATCTACCCCCCCCATCCATGTTATGAAATACAGTGCGCGCATTCGTTTATCAGAAACAAGCAATGTTCGAAAACACTTTGCAGGAACAGGAACGGGGTGCACGCGTGCGTCGTCGCGCTCGCCTGCCAGGTTAAGGTTTTCAAAATCCAGCGTCTCGAAAACATATAAACACAGGGTTTCACAACAGGGATTTTCAAAAAAACATGCGCTCGCGCTCTTGCGGATTCCTCGGAAAACCATCGGTTTCTCAACATTTTTACCAAATGCTACCAAGCGTGCCTCTCGCGAGCGCATGTAGCAATCGTTCGAACGCCCTTGCGCGCGTGCTGTCTTGGGGACCCCTTGCAAAATAGGCGCATCGTCGCGCGCGCATGCTGGAATCTATCGACAACCATCTGTTTCGTAAGGATTTCAAAATCCAGTGTCCCGAACACGTGCAAACAACACGTGGTTGTGCAACATCAGTTTTCAGAAGAGGTCCGCGCGCGCTCTTGCGCATTCTCAAAAAAAGCCCAGTGTTTTCAAACGTTTCACTAAATTCGGCTAAACGGGCCTCCCGCGCCGCGAGTCGAAATCATTCGAACGACCGTGGGCGCGTGCCGGAGGGCACGGTCCTTGTCAAAGTATACCATGCGGGCCTTTCGCGCGCGTCGGCCGCGCGCATGTCAAAGTCCCTCCAAAGCCGTCATCACCGACGCGAGGACCTCGTCATCGTCATCGGCGTGATCAGCATCGGCGCCGTCATTGGCCTCGCCGTCGTCATCGTCGTCATCGTCACCGTCATCGCTACTATCATCATCGTATCTACAGTTGTCGATGTCGCCATGAAAACGCGCCCGTCCAAGCCACCGGCTCGCATTGAAGTGTCCGCTGGGAAGTGCCCAGCGTTCAGCGCCATCGCGACCGCGTCGGCCACGCAAAACTAGTTGTTTTTTTTGCGCGCGAGCATGCGTGGGATAGCGCGGCCGCAGCGATGCGCCATTGCCAGCACCAGCCAGTCATGGCAATCGCTTTCGCATGGGTTTTGCAAACCAAGTTGCGGGTGGGTGGGTGGGGAGATTGCGCGAGCAGTGGGTTGTGAATTCAATTTTTTTCAACATGCACTGCACCAAAAAGATTACACCACATAGGTTGCACCACATACGTTGCACAACATCAATCGCGCAGCACACCTTGCATTCCGTTAATCACCACACATAGTTTGCACAACATATATTGCACAACGTATACGGCACCATCTATAGCCTCATTTCTTTACAAAAAAACATTCGGATCCACCGCCCTCCCAATGTCAGGGTTATCGGTCCACCCTGGGGGTGTACAATTTACGTATGATTTTGCTGAATCGCTCATTCTGATTACGAAGTCGTACCGTCCCAGCTAGGTCAAGGCCCCTCCTCCCACCATCCTCTTCAAACAATATGACACCTGACAAGAAACACCCAATTAGTAAATTTGTTTACACACATATGTATATATATATATATATGTACACACATACAAACATATACATGTATATGTGGATGTATGTATGCTTATATGTCTGTCTGTCTGTATGTATGTATGTACATCTACGCATTTGTACACATAAATACGTACATACACACATACACACATACACACATACATACATACATACACACACATACATTCATACATACATACATACATACATACATACATGCATGCATACATACATACATACATACATACATACACACATACATACCTACATACCTACATACCTACATACCTACATACCTACACACCTCCATACATACATACATACACACATACATACATACATACATACATACATACATACATACATATATATATATATGTATACATTATATAAACACCTTACACATATTGATAAACACATGTGTGAATTTACATTTCCACTCCATATCCATCAATCTCCCTCTCTATGGGATATACATGTGCGTATATATTGCGAGCTCTTGCGCCAGGGAGCGGGAACCCGGGAGCCCCGCCGCCCACCGGGACCACTAGCCGGGAAACGGTAGCCCGGAACGCAGATCTGGGAACCAAGCCGCCCAACCAATCCTGAACCCGGAAACGGAAACCCAGAAACTGGAACCCGCAGCCCAGAACTGGGAACCCAGGAACCCGGCCGCTTACCGACATCGGCGGCGATACTACTTCGCCAACCGGAAGCAGCAGCCGGGAACCCGGGAACCCCGAACCATGAACCCGGGAACCAGGCCGCCAACTGAAATCGGCCGGAAACCGTCGCCAAATTTTTCAACACCCGCTTGGACCCTTTCAGTGCAAGGAATGATAGGGGAACTAGGCGTGCGCTTTTATACCACATCATCATTTTGCAATAATGCTTGGCAACACAGGGGGCGAAGTGCACATGCG